TACTTGGTTCCTTCCTTTAGTGCCTTCCTTCCTTGGTTCCTTCCTTACTTGGTTCCTTCCTTTAGTGCCTTCCCTCCTTGGTTCCTTCCTTTCCTCTCTTCCTTCCTTTCCTCCTTGGTTCCTTCCTTCCTCTCTTTATTTTTCTAAATAATTGAACGATTAAATCAATGAACAGATGAATGAATGAATGAATGAATGAAGGAATGAATGAATGAATGTGTCAAACATTGATCCTAACCTTTGACCTCAGACTCCTGGTTCACTTTCCTCCAGCTCTGAACTCAGATCAGCTGGTTCTGGTTTTAAAGATAGAAAAGTTTAAAGCAGATCTCCCTCAGCCAGACGTTACAAACCCAGTTTTTAAAGCCTTTTCAACATCCTGAAAGTTACGGGTTTTCACCTTTTAGTTTCCGACCAAATGTAGATGTCTTTTGGATGTAAATTAAACAGTTTTTGGAAAGAACCGGAACTGATTGGAGTTTAGCTCCAATACACACAGCTAGCTGCTTTAGCTTGGTTAGCAGCCAAGGCTAGCCCCACCACATGTTGTCAGAAAGAGTCCAGCTGATTAAAGAGATCAAAGCAAACCATTCTGAGGATAAAGTTGTGATAACCCTGCCCCTCCCTGATGATAGTGGGTTTTTTCCTGCATAGATCTTCATCACCTACATAGATGCTACCTGATTCAATCTTCTATTCCCAGATGGAAGACTTTAGCCTGTATTTGTTGGGGTTCTTCAGATCTTACCAACAGCTCCCTGATCAGGAGAAACCTTTAGGCCACAGCAGATGCTTGTTTGTAGATCTGGTCTCTAAGAAGCTAACCATGTGGAAGAAGTGCTGCTTTAGTGTGGATGACCCTATCTAATAGATTTCAATAATAGATTAGGTCTGTTCTCAGGGAAAAGTTGGTGGACGAACTGTGGAACCAACCCAACGTTCAGGTGATGAAGGTTGAATGTTCTAACCTCTTTTTGCAGGTAAAGATGCTGTTCAGATAAATCCGGTATATCCAGTGAAACCAGACTTGATCCAACATAACCTCTGGGAGAGGAGGAGGTCCTAAAGTCCAGATTATTGTCCTTTAGTTTGTCTCCATTCCAAGGAAAGAGACAAACCTCAAAATGTTGTCTTCATCACCTTGAGATGCAGTAATGATGAATGGTTAGAATGGTTGGTTTAGTTGGGCTGGTTGGACAGGTTATTTTGGTTGAGCTGGTTGGTTTGGTAGGCTTTGTTTAGTTTCGTTGGCCTGGTTTGTTTGGTTGGTTGGGCTGGACTGGTTGGTTTGGTTGGGCTGGACTGATTGGTTTGGTTGGGCTGGACTGGTTGGTTTGGTTGGGCTGGTTGGATTTGTTGGACTGGTTGGTTTCGTTGGCCTCGTTGGATTGGTTGGTTTGAATAGGCTGGTTGGACTGGTTATTTTGGTTGAGCTGATTGGACTGGTTGGTTTGGTTGGACTGGTTGGTTTGGTAGGCTTTGTTTAATTTTGTTGGGCTGGTTGGTATGGGTTGACTGGTTGGTTTGGTTGGGCTGGTTGGAGTGGTTGGATTGGTTGGATTGATTGGACTGGTTGGCCTGGTTGGTTTGGTTGGACTGGTTGGATTTGTTGGACTGTTTGGTTTGGTTGGGCTGGTTGGATTGGTTGGACTGATTGGTGTGATTGGTTTGGTTGGAGTGGTTGGACTGATTGGGTTGGTTGGTGTGGTTGGTTCGGTTGGATTGGTTGGGATGGTTGGAGTGGCTGTGCCTGTTGGAGTGGTTGGATTGGTTGGACTGATTAGACTGGTTGGCCTGGCTGGAAGGGTTGGGTGATCAGACTGGTTGGTTCGGTTGGATTGGTTGGTTTGTTGGAGTGGGTAGACTGGTTGAAGTGGCTGTGCCGGTCGGATTGGTTGGGCTGGTTGGACAGGTGAACCTGATGAGGTGGTTGCTAGGAGTAACTGCTGGTTTTCTCCTTTATGCCAAATCTCAGAATCTGCTAAAAGTGTCCAGACTTCAACAGGTCAGCCATTTTGAATCACTGTCTGATCAATAATGTACAATAATCCTCTAATGATGTCAGTTTTCTGATGAATGATAATCTACTGGTGATATCTGCTGTCTGATAGATAATAATCCACAGCGTCTGATGATGTCATCCTGATGATGTCTGATGATGTCATCCTGTTTATTTCCACTTGAAATGGAGGAATCCTCCATCTTTACTGTCCAGCTTCCTTGGGTTGAATGTTTCCTCTGCTTTCAATTGACCGTTCTCCTCAGCAGAGACCTCCATTTGAGAGATTTCCAAGCTGGCTGGTTGGCAGATCTATGGAAAATGAATTGGTTCAGTTCCAGACCTGTAGATCAAAGGAGGAATGAGCCATAATTGTTCATAAACACTTTGATGTGAGGGTGAATGTTCTGCTACTCTCAGGTTTTACTTTCTAAGGAAGTTCCTCTCTCTTTCCTTTGATCATTAGAGGCTAGTTTCTGATTCCTTCCAGAGGTGAAGATGACATCATTTCCTGGTTCTGGCTTTCTGGTGGCATCTGAGGGTGTAACATATAAATGGAGACCCTCTCTCACTATATCTAGGGCTCGTTGCACCGAGTGATCCAAATGGGTTCCTGTAGAACCACCTGAACCAACCGGGTCGTCACTGTTGTCTCCTGTGTGTTTTTTCCAGATATCCACGATGAGAACGGACTGAAGCCGGTCATGGTTTATATCCATGGAGGCTCCTACGTGGAGGGGACCGGCAACATGATCGATGGCAGCATTCTGGCCAGCTATGGCAATGTCATCGTCATCACGGTCAACTACCGGCTGGGGGTTCT